GATAAGATGTAACTTAACAGTGACAGTATTTCTATTTTTGAACAAACACTTAGTCCTTGTGGGAGGAGGACCGCCTCCGTGGTGTAGTGGTTAGAGCGTCCGCCCGGAGTGCGGAAGGTTGCGGGTTCGATCCCCGACCGCGTCATACCAAAAGACGTTAAAATATGGTACTTGTTGGTCCCTGCCTGGCGCTCGCGCATTAATGGGTACAACAAGGAATGGTCGGCTCGGAGTCAGGCATATTAATGAGGAAGATGTAAGAAGAACTCAATTTCTAAAAAGAACAAAATGGTATGAAGAAGGAGAAAAACCCACCAGCTATTTTTGTCATCTGGAAAACAGAAATTTTACCAGTAAGCTTATAGGAAGTGTTATGAAAGATAATGGCGATCTGATAACTGATGGTAGCGGTATTTTAGACGAACTGAAACAATTTTACAGTAATTTGTATAGAGATATTCACCAACATGAGGATCAAAATGATATTGATTTAAGTTCTATTAACACTCCAAAGATAACTAAAAAATAATTTGAGGATTTGGAAAAAGAAATTAGCTTAGAAGAAATAAATAAGGCTGTTTTATCCATGAAGAATGATAAAAGCCCAGGAATTGATGGCTACCCCATTGAATTCTTTAAGTTCTTTTGGAAAGATTTAAGCCCTTGGGTTTATAGATTTATAAAGAAACCTTTACAAATAATGAATTAACTATTACAATGAACAGGGAATTATTACTTGTTTACCTAAACCAAATAGAGACACAGAAACTTCCTAAAGAACTGGCAACCTATTTCATTACTAAATTCCCTTTACAAAATAATAAGCACATGTATTGCAAACAGGTTTAAATCAATATTAGATGCAATTGTACATGAAAATCAAACAGGTTTTATACCAGGGAGATGTATGAGTGAAAATATAAGACTTCTATATGATATTGTCTTTGAAACAAGAAGGTTAAATAAACCCGGCCTATTATTACCAATAGATTTTGAAAAAGCCTTTGACACTATCTCCAAAACATTTATAATACAGGTAATGAAAGCGTTTGGTTTTGGGCCCAATATTATCAAATGGATTCAAATTCTAACCGGTAATAATACAGCAGCTGTGATACAAAGCGGGCACATCTCTTCCTTTTTCCACCAGGAAGCGAGGGTGTAGACAGGGAGATCCAGTCTCACCGTATTTATTTATCCTTGCCGTTGAAATATTAGGTATTATGATAAGGTCGAATCCTAATATAAGGGTATAACACTTAATGATACAGAACAGAAACTTCGGACAATATGCGGACGATACACAGCTATTTCTAGATGGATCTGAAACAAGTCTCAGTGTTGCAATTGAAACACTGAATAAATTCTATCAAATGTCTGGACTCAAAATGAACATAAACAAGACAAAAGCTATCTGGATAGGCTCGATGACAGGTAGTAATATAACTTTAGCCAATGACTCCTATCTTGACTGGCACAGTGGAGACTTTGAAATCTTAGGAATAACACTTAATGCTTCTCTTAAAGACCTTTGGGTAATTAACACCAGAAAACACCTAGAACATATTAATAGATTACTTGCTAGTTGGCAAAGAAGAAACCTGACTCTAATCGGGAAAATCACTGTTATCAAAACTCTAGCAATTTCTACTCTAGTACATATTTTCTCAGCACTTCCTAATCCGCCAAAAACATTCATCGATGAACTCAATAAAATAATCTATAGATTCATATGGAATAATAAAATGATAAGATTAAAAGGTCTAATATCAGTAGAACTTACGTAAGATGGAGGCCTCAGAATGATTGACATTGAATGTTTCATTAAGCGGCTTCGAAATTCATCATCACTGAAATGTCACTTAAAGAAAACTTCAAATTTTAATAGCATTTTTCCCTTAAGTCAACTGTACTTTCTAGGTTCTAATGCTGTTGATTGCTTATCTGGCAAAGATAATCCCTATTGGAGAAATGTTTTATCTGCATGGAGAATATTTTATAAAAAACACACCTTTGACAGCGATGACTTAGACCAAATCTTAGCTCAGCCCCTCTGGTTAAACCATTTCCTTAAATCTTCATACATGATAAGAAATTGGTTTAAGTGCGATGTGTACATTATATGTCAGCGATATTTGTAATGAAAATGGATTTCTCAGTTTTGAAGATGTAAAACAGAGGTACAAAATAAGCGGGACCTTCCTAGACTATCATCATTTGTTAAATAACATTCCAATGAACTGGAGACAACTTGTAGGAAACAGAACTCTCTGCTTAAATCAATTAAACATTAATAGAGTTTACCTAGATATGATCTCAAATATTAAAGGTTCAAGGATATTCTATGATAAATTGATTAAGAACAACAATACCCCTAAAGTATTAGAGTATTGGAAAACTGTCTTTCAGCTGGATATAATGTGGAGTAATGTATTCAGATATTACAGGAAATGCACAAATCATTGTAAGCTATTAGATTTTCAGTACAGATTTATTTACAGAATAATTTATACAAAGAAAGAACTATTGAAGATGAAGCTAGTTGATAATGATACTTGTACTTTTGTAAAAATACCTCAGAAGACATATTGCATGTATTTTTTACTGTGATTTAGTTAAAAACTTTTGCTTAAAAGTAGAACAATTTCTAAATGCCCACCTCCAGTGTGATGTCACATTTACAAAATTCACTATCATGTTTGGAATGTTCTCAAACAATAAAATACTAAACCATATTATACTTCTTGCCAAAAGATTCATTTATGTTTCAAGTATAAAACAACAAACACTTTCCCTTGAGGGATTTCTTAAGTTATTAAAAGATATATATACAACAGAAAAAATATATAGCTAGGAAAAACAATAGCTTAGATCCCTTATAAGGAAATGGAAACATTTAGATACCTTACTATGTGCTAAACATTAAATTCTACTTATAATATCAGCTGAGACCTCCAGACCCTACTCACCACAACCATACTATTCAACCTTACCCATCCAATTTCATATTCCCTCCACAGAAACTTTAATGACATCTTATGTATCTATATAATTGTTGTAATCTCATGATGTTATATTTATATATATGTATACATGCATGTATGTATGTGCATATGTATGTATATGTATATATGTATGTGTGCGCATGTGTGTATATGTTTGCAATACTGTCTTTTATGTCATATAGAACCTTGCAAAACATCACTGAATCTATATACATATATATTTGGTTGTTGTCCTCTTTGCCATATGTATTTTATGTGAGACTTGAAATGGAATAAAAATATTAAAAAAAACAAATTAAAAAAAAAAAGTTTGTTTCCTCTGGTTTAAACAAGATCTATTTCAGAAAGAAATGTAATGATCAATCCTGTATATAGACCTCTCCCTTACAAAATATAAAACAATATCATTCATAATAAGATGCTTGATCATGATAAGATGTAACTTAACAGTAACAGTATTTCTATTTTTGAACAAACACTTATTCCTTGTGGGAGGAGGACCGCCTCCGTGGTGTAGTGGTTAGAGCGTCCGCCCGGAATGCGGAAGGTTGCGGGTTCGATCCCCGACCGCATCATACCAAAAGACGTTAAAATATGGTACTTGTTGGTCCCTGCCTGGCGTTCGTGCATTAATGGGTACAACAAGGACTGGTCGGCTCGGAGTCAGTATAATGTGTCTGAGTGGGGTATTCATGCTTCACTGCGGAATGGTATCTCAGTGGACTAGCACTATAAAACCAGCTTCAGTCTGGGCTAGTACAAGCAGCCGCACATACACATACACACGCATGCACATCGTCATATGAGCGAAATATTCTCAAGCACGACGTTAAACCCAATTTCACCTCAGTTCACCTCACCTCCTTGTGGGCGGAGAACACCACAAAGCATATTGATCATCTTTTAGACCACTGAAAACATGGAATGAAGATGGTACCCGGTAAAGTATCAATATTTAACTTCAGCACCTGCATCTGTACAGCTATAACTTCACAATGTATACACGTAAGGATTGTCAATCACATGTAAGACATTTGGTTTCACATTTTATGCTATAGAATATCACAACCTTTCACATGTCACATTTGTTATAGCAGCAATAACATATCAACATTGGATTTATGCAAATTTCTTTTCTATTTCCTATTTCCATTTGACTTCTACTATTTGTTTGTTGTTTAACGCTGCCCTCAGCAATATTCCAGCTTTATGGTGGTGGTCTGTAAATAATTAAGTCTGGACCAGACAATCCAGTGATCAACATCATGACCATCAACTGGGATATGATGACATGCGTCAACCAAGTCAGTGAGCCTGACCACACGATCAATTTAGTCATCTTTTTAACATGCATGGGTTGCTGAAGTTTCACATGAAGATGTACTTCTACATATTTCCTTAAGCTTCTACAGTAAGTTTGTGATACATCTACATATTTCCTTAAGCTTCTATGGTAAGCTTCTTAAGTTTGTGATACATCTACATATTTCCTTCCTTAAGCATCTCATATTTCCTTATAGCTTCTACGGTAAGTTTGTGATACATCTACATCACCTTGTTCCAGAAATGGTACATTCATGATGGCTGTATCAATCTTTCCACCTGTAATTACAGACCACTGTTCAATACACTTTTACATGTGAATTCTGCAAGTTTCACATGTGAGTCAGGGCCTTACACATGTCAGTCAGCTCAAGTTTGAAATGACAGCAGGTTTCTTGTCTCAATCCATCAGTCTGTATATGCCAGGAGGCAATTTGTTCTTGGCAATTTTCTGAAAGATTTACTTTTCAGTTTGATAATTTCACATCAGGTAATATTCACCCACAAGTTTCACATGTCAATCCATATGCCTGTGTTAACAGGCCAGTGATAATGCTGAAGAGCCACTGTGACAGGCTTAACATACTGCTAGTTTCACACGTCAATCTGTATGCTCAAGTTCACAGAGGTAGGCAACTGGGATCAACTGTAAGTGCAAGAATCTTCACATACTGCTAGTTTCACACGTCAATCTGTATTCTCAAGTTCACAGAGGTAGGCAACTGGGATCAACTGTAAGTGCAAGAATCTTCACATACTGCTAGTTTCACATGTCAATCAATATGCCAGAGTGAACAAAGTCCTGTGGTGAGGATCAAGAGCCACTGTGAAGGGCTTCACATACTGCTAGTTTCACATGTCAATCTGTACTCCTGAGTTAACAGAAACAGTCCAGGAGGCTGAATAGACATTACAAGGGGCTTCACATACTGCTAGTTTCACTTGTCAAGCCGTATGTATGTGTTACCAGAGGCAGGCACAAGGATAAAACAACAGTAAGTATCTTCACATATTTCCAGTTTCACAGTTCAATATGTATGCCTGTGTTCAGGCTGCAAAGAGGATCAAGATCCACTATCAAGGGCTTTACATACTGAAAGTTTCACGTGTCGATCTGTACACCCGAGTCCACAGAAGTAGACAACTGGGATCAACTGTAAGTGTAAGAATCTTCACATGCTGCAAGTTTCACATGTCAATATGTATGCCAAAGTCCAAAGATACCACTGACGACAATGAAGAGCCGCTGTGACAGGCTTCACATGCTGCTAGTTTCACATGTCAATATATATGCCAAAGTCCACAGATGCCACTGACGACAATGAAGAGACGCTGTGACAGGCTTCACATGCTGCTAGTTTCACATGTCAATATGTATGCCAAAGTCCACAGATGCCACTGACAATGAAGAGCCGCTGTGACAGGCTTCACATGCTGCAATTTTCACATGTCAATATATATGCCAAAGTCCACAGATGCCAAAGTCCTGTGATGAGGATGAAGAGCCAATCAGAGGGGCCTCACATACTACAAGTTTCACATGTCAATCAGTATGCCCAAGTTCACAGAAGCAAATAACTGGAATCAGTTGTCAGTACAAGAACCTTCACATAGAGCTAGTTTCACATGTCAATCTGTATGCCCGAGTGAACAGAATCCTGTAATGAGGATGAAGAGTCGCTGTGGGTTGACACAGCCGGAAATATCTTCACTGCATGACCATTTAGTAGCTCCATCTTTTCACACTGATCATCATCATCATCGTCGTCATCATCATAAGCATCTGAAATGGCCACTCAAGAAAATTAACAGGAACAAAGCAAAGCTACTTATATAACTTACTTCTGAGAGCAAAAGTAGCATTATTCATTAATATGCCTGTTTTCTAATTCATTGTGTTCTTTATGTTCTAAACCTGAAAAAATATTTGGAACAGTCGGAATAAGAAATGAATCATCTTAAATTTGTACATATATTTCCATTTGTTTTCTTCTCAACTTTTACCTGAAAGGAAAAATCACGTCTAACATGAGGCAATGAGGTGATTAAAGGATTAACTTGTCATGCTGAAGTAAAAAGTAATGCAATTTATGTAAAAGTTTCATGATATCAGGACAGGACATGAGCAGGTTGTTTGCAGAAGCTGATTTTCACCGGAGATTTATCCATGGACATAAAAGCTTTCTACAAGTTTTGAAAAAATAATTCTGCTTTTTTTCCCAGCACAAATTTAAATCAGTACTTGTATGTGAACAAGTTTGACATGAAGCTATATGAACAGAAGCAATAACTGTTATAATTTTAGAAAGCTTTGGAAATCTCAAATTTGGAATTAGATCTGATAATGGGGTGTACAACATTAATATTATTCTTCCAATATCAGACATGAAGTATTCATGCGATAGCATTGTCCTTATGACATCTTACACTAAGTACTGTCCTTATGACACCTTACACTAAGTACTGTCCTTATGACACCTTACACTAAGTACTGTCCTTATGACACCTTACACTAAGTACTGTCCTTATGACACCTTACACTAAGTACTGTCCTTATGACACCTTACACTAACTACTGTCCTTATGACACCTTACACTAACTACTGTCCTTATGACACCTTACACTAAGTACTGTCCTTATGACACCTTACACTAAGTACTGTCCTTATGACACCTTACACTAAGTACTGTCCTTATGACACCTTACATTAAGTACTGTCCTTATGACACTTACATTAAGTACTGTCCTTATGACAGCTTACATTAAGTACTGTCCTTATGACACCTTACACTAAGTACTGTCCTTATGATTATTCGTCAACAGGCTTTTAATTTCTAACTTTGTTCATCTTTAATATAATTACTAATTGTTCCTGTCACGATATGGCTGAAATATTGCCGATGTGACGATAAATATTAACTCACTCACTGTCACTCACTCACTGTCCTTATGACAGCTTACATTAAGTACTGTCCTTATGACACCTTACATTAAGTACTGTCCTTATGACACCTTTCACTAAGTATTGTCCTTATGACAAGTACTGTCCTCATGACAGCTTACAAAAGTATTGTCCTCATGAAATATTACATTAAGTACTGTACTTATGACAGCTTACACTAAGTACTGTCCTTATGACAGCTTACACTAAGTGTTGTCCTCATGACAGCTTACACTAAGTATTGTTCTCATGAAATATTACATTAAGTACTGTACTTATGACAGCTTACACCAAGTGTTGTCCTCATGAAACATTGCATAAGTGTTGTCCTTATGTCAGCTTACATTACTGTCCTTAAGTGTGTCCTTATGACAGCTTACATTAAGTATTGTCCTTATGACAGCTTACATTAAGTATTGTCCTTATGACAGCTTACACTAAGTGTTGTCCTCATGTCAGCTTACATTAAGTGTTGTTCTGACAGCTTACATTAAGTATTGTCCTTATGACAGCTTACATTAAGTATTGTCCTTATGACAGCTTACATTAAGTGTTGTCCTTATGTCAGCTTACACCAAGTGTTGTCCTTATGTCAGCTTACACCAAGTGTTGTCCTTATGTCAGCTTACACTAAGTGTTGTCCTTATGTCAGCTTACACCAAGTGTTATACTTATGGCAGCTTACACCAAGTGTTGTCCTCATGACAGCTTACAATAAGTATTGCCCTAATGACAGCTTACACTAAGTATTGCCCTAATGACAGCTTACACTAAGTATTGCCCTAATGACAGCTTACATTAAGTGTTGTCCTTATGTCAGCTTACACCAAGTGTTGTCCTCATGACAGCTTACACTAAGTATTGCCCTAATGACAGCTTACACTAAGTATTGCCCTAATGACAGCTTACATTAAGTGTTGTCCTTATGTCAGCTTACATTAAGTGTTGTCCTCATAAAATATTACATGTGTATTGTCCTTATGACAGCTTACATTAAGTGTTGCCCTTATGTCAGCTTACACTAAGTATTGTACTTATGTCAGCTTACACCAAGTGTTGTCCTCATGACAGCTTACACTAAGTATTGCCCTAATGACAGCTTACACTAAGTATTGCCCTAATGACAGCTTACATTAAGTGTTATCCTTATGTCAGCTTACATTAAGTGTTGTCCTCATAAAATATTACATGTGTATTGTCCTTATGACAGCTTACATTAAGTGTTGCCCTTATGTCAGCTTACACTAAGTATTGTACTTATGTCAGCTTACACCAAGTGTTGTCCTCATGACAGCTTAAACTAAGCACTAAGTATTGCCCTAATGACAGTGTATTGCCCTAATGACAGCTTACATTAAGTGTTAGCTTATGTCAGCTTACATTAAGTGTTGTCCTCATAAAATATTATATGTGTATTGTGCTTATGACAACTTACATTAAGTGTTGCCCTTATGTCAGCTTACACTAAGTATTATACTTATGTCAGCTTACACCAAGTGTTGTCCTCATGACAGCTTAAACTAAGTATTGTCCTCATGACAGCTTACACTAAGTATTGTCCTTATGTCAGCTTAAACTAAACTTGTCCTTATGACAGCTTAAACTAAGTATTTGTCCTTATGACAGCTTAAACTAAGTATTTTACTTATGAAACCTTACAATATTATTATACACATGCCCTCTTTAGAGAAGCATGCATTTATAGTCCTTATGATAGTTTACATAAATATTGACCTCTACTTGACAATACTATTGTAATAGATTGCAACCAGATTATACTTACAACTGCATACAATAACATTGCCCTTATGGTTGAATGAGTTCATATTATCCTCATGATAGCTTACAATAAGTGTGACAACTGACAATATTATTATCCTTTTGGTGGCTTACATCAGTACATTCCTTGTAATAGCTTACATAACAATCATCCCTATGATACCTTGACGATCCTGTAAACAAAGAACTCAGCAATCTACAATAAATCCTTGAAACATACACTGAACTAAGCACTATGAAACTGACATTAACGGACCACTGAAATGAAGCACGTAATGAACCAATTTAAACACTATATGTTCCCTGTACACACTGGTGCATAGACCACTACACCCTCGTTGACACATGCAATGTACACTCAGCACAGCTAATGGTGCATCACAAACACAGCACAAGCCATGAAATCCATACCACAAGGAGGCAATACAGGAGGATATTGACGAGGGTGTCATTCACAACCATCGCACAGCACATAACGACAGATTACATAGGCAGATCGCATGCATTAATAACACTTTTAGAACAACAAGATGTAGAACAATATTTTCTTTTCATATCAAGCAGTATGTCCGGTAAAACACGATTACGTTTTTCATATGATAAATGTAAAATTTTCATGTCTCCGTTTGGAGCCTCAGTAAGAGAATCGGATTGTGGTGAAGTAATATTTCAGCGGGGATATTTCTGGTTAGTCGTAGTGTTTATGAGGACATGTTTATGGAGTGTCTGTGCGGTTGTACAACTACACAGGAGAGGTCTCAGAGGATGAGAGATTGTTGGCACCACACACAATCCACGCAGGACAATATAACCTGCTCTACAGCAGGCTGAAATTTATCATCACAAACTACTTTCCATTGACAGATTATATTTGGATATGTGCGTACTTTCAATTCATCTGAATAAGGAGGGTGAATAAGTTCAGATAGATCTTTGACCTCAGTTCTTGAATGGTTTGAAGCAAACAAGAACGTTTCTCTCAAAAAAACATTTCTCATCATCATGTTGGTGGTAAATGTTGTTTAATGCTGCAGTCAGCAATTTTCAAGCTGTATCCCAGTGACCTCAAAATATTCGATTCTGGATCAGGTAAATACGCGATGAAGAGTTTCGGCAAATGTCCAGCCATCAATGAAAGAGGACACATACTGAAACCAGCCACAAAGCCAGACCACTTGATCACATTATGAGTGGTGCCTTGTGACATACAAGCAATACTGGAACTATTCAGACCAAAACCTCTAAGTTGATAAAATCATCTCCTATACAATATGGTATCAACATTATTTTTTCTCCTTCTGATTCAGGCACTACATAATCAATTATATCTTTTTTTAATTTTTTTATGTCTATCAATCCTAAATTTCCATTATAGGCAGACTGAGAAAACCACAAGAAATGACTTTTCAGTTGTTTCCTATCAGTGACAATTCACAGATTTGTCAAAGTATTCAGCACCTGCTCAATTCAAAAGAGTTTGTTTTCAACAATGTTACGAAAACCGGAAATCTGAAACAGATGACACTGCACTTCTATCTGTGTTCAAGGCTTGAGGCTATGTTTGGGCATCGGATTTTGTGGGAGATAGATTATTTATTTAGACAAAGCCTCGATGACATTTCAGTTGTGCTAAACAATAGTTATTTTCAAAACATTAGCAAGTCCAGTTAACGATTTGTATTTGAGCACAGCTTAAGGACAAATCTCTGTTCAAACAGTTTCAGGAAATTGGTCAAACGGTTGGCCAAACAACTTAATGAAGTATCAACTTTACAATCACAATATGGCCAACTTCCAATAATCTGATCCTAATCTGAACGTCTTGTCCCCATGACCAAAGAGGTCAGCCCTGTCAGCAAGCTAACAATGTAAGGGTGTCCTCTGCAGGATATCATCATACTCCCCTGTCAACAGAAGGCATGTCCTGCTTCACATATTGTACAGTACTGAGATGATAGCTCAGCCCAACTTTGGGCATGGATGTGACGATCTGTTATGATCAAAGAGGTTGCCAGCTGACAATTTAGTACGTCATCTGAAGGATGACTTCAGTCTCTGGTACATGTGCACCAATAACTAACATACTGCAGCTTCTCGTGTAATCTATAGAATGAAACACATCACTTTGTCATTCCCAATGCATTGCATAAACACTAGTCTTCAAGTGATACCCTACAGGTGGCAAAGTGAAATTAGTAACAGCTAAGGCTTTGTTTTTAATGTACCCTGAATACAAAATATATTAAAAATTGTAAGCCTTAAATTATGTTCATGTATAATCATTCCAATAGAATAGACAGATCAGGGATTTGTCTGTACCTGCTCAGAAGCTGATATTTGGCTCCTGGTGTGCAGCAAGTATCAATGAATAGGATGTCACGATACATAAGTTTCATGAATCTATACGTATCACGATACCCATGTCACGATTCGATACGTATCACGATACCTATTATTGAGGCATTATTGCGTAAATTTAGTTACATTTTGAACATTAATATTTCATATTTTATAATTGTCCATGAAAAGATCAACATTTTTTATTCTCAGAGATGAAAAAGTTCTAATTTCCCGTCTTTGTGCATGAAAAATAATCATTTATAACTCTCATAACATCAAAATACATGATACAATTGCAAAATGTATATGATACATAAACATATTTAAACCGATACTTTCAAACTAAACATCGATACAGTTTTGAATGCATCAATAATTGTATTGTCTTAGAAAAAGTATCAATGCATCAATGTATCAATGTATCGTGGCATCCCTATCAATAAATAATCCCAAATGGAAATATACAAATTCAAGTCGTGTTAATAGTAATACAAGCGACTAACTGTAACCAGATTAACAAACATTATGGCCCTTGTCACTTCTGTTGTAAGGTAATTTGTGCATCAGTAACACCAGGCCCAATAAGAACCAGTCTTGAGGTTAAGTTATTCAATTTTTCACAAATATGCGTCTATAATGGTACAGAGTGTTGTATCCAAGATAAAACCATTAAAAGCTCCGGCACAATTACGATTTTTAAGTCCAGACTTAAAACCCACCTTTTCTCAGCATATTACTTACAATTTCAACTGTAAATACTCCAGAGTATATTCTGTAGTGCTTAGGATGTGGAATAGGCACATTATAAAAATGCACTTATTATTATTATCAACCATGCAGATAGCACATGCAAAATAATACCCAAACCTAAAATATGTACAACATTGACAATATAAAACTTCCATGTAAAGCTGAAGCAACATGCAAACAAACTGAAGAAATAATTCTAAACCAGCAGACTCACCATCATAGTCATCTTCGGTTCCCCCTCCCCACCGTGGGCCTCTGGTTCCGATGCCACCCCTGCCACAGCCTTGCGGATATCTTGTCTGGCCTTGATGCTGGACGACACACTAGGCAGACGGATGTCTAGACGGGACCCAGCAGGTGTGCTCACCTGCAGCAACAGTAACAACAACCTCACCATCACCAACTGCTTCAACTTCAGGGGGAGTGAGTGAGTGGGTTGTTTTTGAGTGTGTGAGTGAGTGAGATAGAGAGAACTGGTTCTAACAGGTTCTTAAAGGTCAACCCTTTGTGGATACAGTGAGTGAGTTTAGTTTTACGCAGCTTTTAGCAATATTCAAGCAATATCATGGCAGGGACACAAGAAATTTGCTTCACACATTGTATCCATGTGTGAAATAGAACAAAGGTCTTCATTGTGATTAGCAAACGCTTAAACTACCAGGCTAACCCCACCGCCCCTGGGAGTACGAGATTTGTTATCGATGTGGAAGGGTTTTGTCACTTTTTTACGACACTTTAGCCACATTGAAGCATTATTGTACCAATATCGCAGTTCGGGACACTCGAGACATGTTCCACAAACTGTTTCCCATTACTCACAGTGTTCACTTACCTTCACACCACTGCCACAAAATAACATTCAGTCCACATGACTGGTGTTTCTCATGTTTGGAAACAAGCACGTTTCTACTCATTCATAACAGTCCAGCCTACATGTATTCGTATCTACACCTACCTTTTGATTGAGAGCATACAGTTTGTTGGTGATGTCCCTGCCAAGCATGGTGTTCATGATGTTGGCGAGGTAGGGTTCCTTGACCAAGAGGTACTCCAGACTACGGCGTGGCCAGAAGATGTAGCGACACATGCTGGCTGCTATCACAGACACCTGGAACTTCTCATCTCCACTGACACTGGACTCAAACTCAGGAGAGTCGATGAACTGCTTGGAGCGGATTGTGTGGAGCAGGTTCCGGTTGCTGTATACATTCATCCTGCAAACACAAAGTCTTTATGTGCAAGAACAAGAGAATGATGTCCAAGAACAAAGGAGATATATACAAGAACAAGAGAATGATGTCCAAGAACAAAGGAGATATATACAAGAACAAGAGAATGATGTCCAAGAACAAAGGAGATATATACCATGATGAACAAAAGGAGATATATACAAGAACAAGAGAATGATGTCCAAGAACAAAGGAGATATATACAAGAACAAGAGAATGATGTCCAAGAACAAAGGAGATATATACAAGAACAAGAGAATGATGTCCAAGAACAAAGGAGATATATACAAGAACAAGAGAATGATGTCCAAGAACAAAGGAGATATATACAAGAACAAGAGAATGATGTCCAAGAACAAAGGAGATATATACAAGAACAAGAGAATGATGTCCAAGAACAAAGGAGATATATACAAGAACAAGAGAATGATGTCCAAGAACAAAGGAGATATATACAAGAACAAGAGAATTATGCCGAGGAACAAAGGAGATATATACAAGAACAAGAGAATGATGTCCAGGAACAGGAGAACAAGAGAGGAGAATGATGTCCAGAGATACAAAAGAACAGGAGAATATGTATAGGAACAAAGGAGATATATACAAGAACAAGAGAATGATGTCCAGGAACAAAGGAGATATATGAGGAACAAGAACAAAGAAGAGAATGATGTCCAAGAACAAAGGATATATATACAAGAACAGGAGAATGATGTCCAAGAACAAAGGATATATATACAAGAACAAGAGAATGATGTCCAGGAACAAAGGAGATATATACAAGAACAAAGAGAATGAATGTCCAGGAACAAAGGAGATATATACAAGAACAGAGAAAAGAGAATGATGTCCAGGAACAAAGGAGATATATACAAGAACAAGAGAATGATGTCCAGGAACAAAAGGAGATATATACAAGAACAAGAGAATGATGTCCAGGAACAAAGGAGATATATACAAGAACAAGAGAATGATGTCCAAGAACAAAGGAGATATATACAAGAACAAGAGAATGATGTCCAAGAACAAAGGAGATATATACAAGAACAAGAGAATGATGTCCCAGAACAAAGGAGATATATACAAGAACAAGAGAATGATGTCCAAGAACAAAGGAGATATATACAAGAACAAGAGAATGATGTCCAAGAACAAAGGAGATATATACAAAGAACACAGAGAATGATGTCCAGGAACAAAGGAGATATATACAAGAACAAGAGAATGATGTCCAGGAACAAAGGAGATATATACAAAGAACAAGAGAAGAGAATGATGTCCAAGGAACAAAGGAGATATATACAAAGGAGATATACAAGAACAGGAGAATGATGTCCAAGAACATATATACAAGAACAGGAGAATGATGTCCAGAAGGAGATGTCAAGAACAAGAGAAACAAAAGGAGATATATACAAGAACAAGAGAATGATGTCCAAGAACAAAGGAGATATATACAAGAACAAAGAGAATGATGTCCAGGAACAAAGGGAGATATATACAAAAAGAACAAGAGAATGATGTCCAGGAACAAAGGAGATATATACAAGAACAAAGAGAATGATGAGAATGATGTCAAGAGAAGGAACAAAAGGAGATATATACAAGAACAAGAGAGAATGATGTCCAAGAACAAAAAGGAGATATATACAAGAACAAGAGAATGATGTCCAGGAACAAAGGAGATATCCAGGAACAAAGGAGATATATACAAGAACAGAATGATGAGAATGATGTCCAAGAACAAAGGAGATATATACAAGAGAGAATGATGTCCAAGAACAAAGGAGATATATAAAAGAACAGAGATATATACAAGAGAATGATGTCCAGGAACAAAGGAGATATATAAAGGAAGATGTCCAAGAACAAAGGAACACAAAGAGAATGATGTCCAAGAACAAAAGGAGATATATACAAGAACAAGAGAATGATGTCCAGGAACAAAGGAGATATATACAAGAACAAGAGAATGATGTCCAGGAACAAAGGAGATATATACAAGAACAAGAGAATGATGTCCCAAGAACAAAGGAGATATATACAAGAACAAGAGAATGATGTCCAAGAACAAAGGAGATATATATACAAGAACAAGGAGAATGATGTCCAAAAGAACAAAGACAAAGGAGATATATACAAGAACAAGAGAATGATGTCCAAGAACAAAGGAGATATATACAAGAACAAGAGAAAGAACAAAGGAGAATATATGCAAGAACAGGAGAATGATGAACAAGGAGATATATACAAGAACAGGAGAATGATGTCCAGGAACAAAGGAGATATATACAAGAACAAAGAGAATGATGTCCAAGAACAAAGGAGATATATACAAGAACAAAGAGAATATATGCCCAAGACTAAGGAGATATATCCAAGAACAAAGGACAAGAAAGAGAATGATGTCCAAGAACAAAGGAGATATATACAAGAACAAGAGAATTATGCCCAAGACTAAGGAGATATATACAAGGACAAGAGAATGATGTCCAAGAACAAAGGAGATATATACAAGAACAAAGGAGATATATATGCCCAAGACAAGAACAAGAGAATGATGTCCAAGAACAAAAGAACAAAAGAACTACATACAAGTACAAGGAAATATGATGTACAATAGCAAGGGCATTAAACCCCAAAAAATACCAAGTACAAGGGAATTATGAGATAATCATGTACCCAAATCCCCAAAAACCACTAAAGAATCATCATAGAATAAAGAAGGACATCATACAGAAGAAGGTATCAGGTCAAAGTGACAGAGCCTGTGACCACCACTTTTTACATTTAACTGTACAGAGATTCTGATGATGCTTTGATTTGCTTTCAAGAGGCAAATTGATAGAAACAGTTTCAAGATGTCAAGAAGCAGAAATATATAGAGAGAATGCTCAGGATGTTTCAACAAAACTGAGTATCAGAAATGAAATGACAGTTACAAGCATCTCAAATCAGTCTGTGACTTAAGATACCAGCCTAAAACCAAAGTCCCTTAAATCTCTTTTTGTCTTGTAAGATCCATGAATGCCAAAAGCCAATCCATCACCAAGATCTACAGAAAATGATGTCAACTGAGAGGTTCTCTCTCATCAAATCAAAGGCTTTTGCCACAAACTGTCAAAGAAATAATCATTAATTCATTCTGCTTTGACTCTCTGTCACAGATTCTTATTACATTTTACTGATTCTAACCATGGGCACGATAGGTGGAAATACCATAGCAGATTGCCTTTTGAACATGATACAGTTATAATCACTAACAGGTACTGAAGACATCAGAGTTATGATTGAGTTTAGTTTTACGCCACACTCAGTAATATTCCAGCTATATGGCAGTCAGAGTTATGAAATCTTCTGCTATATTTGGACAATCCTCTTGTGGACATGCAGTTCATGGAACTTCAATTAGCAATTACTAATAGCTTCAGGGAAACATACAACGGTTTTTGTCTGTAACAATATTCTGTAACATCACTTAGGACATCATTGTTAATGGATGGTTTCATGTCAATCGTTAAGTAGTCTTTAGTGACTGACACATTTCCTCTGTGACAAGACTGATGAAAGTCTGTCAAAATATGCACTGAAGCTAGCCCCAGACATTGAAGCATATTTGGTGAATAATTCATATCTCACGCAACCTACTCAAATTTCCATAATAAACTGACTGCTAAAACAACAATCAGAGTGGGACAATGGCTCTTGTTTGTGTTCATGGTGTAGGGACTAAATATTTCACGGTGTTCTTCTCATGGGGACACAGAGCATCCTCCAACACAGAACCAGTATCAGCATCACTTCAGGGGCCAATTCAAAAGTTCTATATAAGGTAAAAAACTTATTTTCAATATTTTCTATCCCTAAAAAATAATTTTATAAATCCTGACTGCTTTGAAATACTCATTTACATACTGTCATAACGAATTAGTGCTATTCATTATGTCTTAATATAACATGAAAGTATTCTGAAATATCTAGAAAAGGAATGACAGTTTTTTCACTTTATTGTTTGACGCCATACTCAGCAATATTCCAGGTATATGACAACAGTCTGTAAATAATTAAGTGTGGACCGGACATTCCAGTGACTGACATCATGAACATCGCTCTACACTAGTGGTGTTCCGATTAATTGAAATAATCGAAGATTGGTCGCAGTGGCCAAACGACCAAGCAATCGATCACACTTTCTCATAATTGAACACAAACAATTTTGGAACCGCTGTAATAGAGTTTGAAATACTTGATGATGGAACATATCTAGGACTTTGTCAAGGCCGGAAAACGTGTTTAATTCTTAGAAAACTCACTTCACTTTCTGAAAAGTCATGACTGAATATTTCTTGAAGAATCTGGGAAGTTTATGTTACACTGGAACTGAATCATTTTCCACTGGATGTGAAATTTGCAAATGTAATTTGTGCAGTTTCTAAATAAAACAAAAACAACAATAGAGAACCAAATGTTTTTTCTTTATACTTATCTGCAACTACAACCTGAATAGGAAAATCTAAAAAAATGACGCTAACCAATCTTTTTCGATGATTGGTCGTTGGTATCGAACCAATCATCAATTGTGAGATTTCAACCAGTTCCCAACACTACTCTACACAATTGGGATATCATGGCAAATGAGTATTGCAAAGTTCAGTTTGGACAACGATCTCGTGGAAAAAACAGGACTGGTAGAATAAAATGAGATTTTGGGGTTATTATTCCAATATAAAACATAGAGAAGTAAGGCAAGTTAGAATGTTTGACGGAAACTTTGTAGGGCCCTTCCCTAATGAATCAAGACTTTTATTCAACATCAAACTTTTGAACTGGTCCCTGGCACAACATCCGGCTGGGAGTATTTGCCTCCAAGTAGCTTTGAAAGACATTAACAACAAAGTGTTATGTATAATATGGAACTATCTGGGTGTTACTGCTTTTGAATATTCATGAAGTGACATCATCATATTGTTCTGAAGTTTTCTTCAAAAAGAGAAAACCTACAAACTCAACTGTGAGTATCCATGCCAGTATTGTTACATAACAAAAGAGTGTTACATCACCAACAATTAATAAACATTGTCCAGATGAGCATAAACTATGAGCTTTCCATGGAATGGCTACACACATTTCTAGCAAATGTTCCATTTCATTGAAAATATCTTAGACTGACTGACTGAGTTTGATTTTACGCCGCTTTTAGCAATATTCCAGCACCATCATGGCGGGGGACACCAGAAATGGGCTTCACACATTGTGCCCATGTGGGGATTCGAACCCGGGTCTTCGGCGGGACGAGCCAACGCTTTAACCATTAGGCTACCCCACCGCCCCGAAAATATCTTAGAAGGACATGCAGTAATATACCTGAAATACTTTCAAAGCAGGTGCGGTAGGGTTACCTAGTCTTTTCAAACTTTGCATGTGATTACGAAGACACAGGTTCGATTCCCCACATGGGTACAATGTGAGAAATGAAATTCTGGTGTCTTCCGTCTAGGGCTGGGATGATACACTATGTCACGATACGATACGATACATATCGCCATAGTTTAATTGTGAAACGATAAATGTACCTTGAAAGAATGACACAGTATTAAGATTTGAAATGATTTATTTCAAGATATTTGTGTATAACAATAACACTATTGTAATAAACAAACAAGTAACTCCATCATACTTGCGTATATTTCACTAAAATAAGTACTTTAACATGTTTAAGATAATACTGTTTTCAAAATAAGTCGTGTATCGTTTTGCATCGATACACCAGTCGACGATACGATTGCTGTATCAAACTTAAATGTATCGTGATGTATCGGTGCATCGGTGAATCGTCCCAGCCCTACTCCCGCCATGCTATTGCTGGAATATTGCCAAAATCGGCGTAAAACTCACTCATTCAACTTGCTCACTTGTAATATGAACTTCACACATGATGTACTCACTGTCCCGAGATGAGGATGCCAAGCTTGTCTGTCTTAGTGATAGACTGTGTAGCGTAAGCCTCTCCTTCATGAAGATTCATCAGGGTACAATATTCTGGACTCACAAGCTTCTTGAACACAGACCTGTGGAACAAAAGACGTGTATGTTTGACTTGGAATTTGACGGTCCTGAGGTGAGGTGAGGTGAGGTGAGGTGAAAGTGGGTTTAGCGTCTTGCTTGAGAATAATTCGCTCATATGACGACGTGCATGCTTGTGTATGTGTATGTGTATGTGCGGCTGCTTGTACTAGCCAGGACTGAAGCTGGTTTTATAGTGCTAGCCCACTGAGATACCATGCCGCAGTGAAGCAGGAATACCCCAGCCGACCAGTCCTTGTTTTACCCTTTAATGCCGAGCGCCAGGCAGGGACCAACAAGTACCATATTTTAACGTCTTTTGGTATAACGCGGTCGGGGATCGAATCCGCGACCTTCCGCTCTCCGGGCGGACGCTCTAACCTCTACACCACGGAGGCGGTTTTGACGGACCTGAAGGGATGACTATTTGGAAGTCTGCATTGATTAACAACATACTTTTTTCTAAAAAATTAAAAAAACTGAAAGAAAGATCCTGTGCAAAGTTGACAGTTTCAAATGACGTTAATCAAATCTGGCTCGGAGAATAGTGATTGACGACATGAGCATTGATCAATCCCACTGGAGAACGACATGTATGAACCAAGTGACAAGCATGGATTGCTGAAGACAATTCATAGATCTTCCTTTTCCAATCGACACTTGTTCGAACATTGTCAGTCACTATTTTTTGCCCTTCAAGAAGCTACTAGCATGTGTATCATTAAGAAACCACTGCAACCATTTATCAATAAATTGAGAAGTACAGGGAGAATCCAATGGTGGGAGAAAGTATTAATGACATACAATAAGCTGTGAGTCAGTGTTTGTACCTGGGAACTCGGAGAGGTTCAAATGTGGAGCTGTATACATCCTCCAGCTCCTCACAGAACTTGACTGGTCGGATGCGGTACATGAGGAACAGTGTCTGCACACCATTGATCAGCATAAAGGCAAAGTTCCAGGAGAAGAAGTCCGGGGCACACAAGATCACCCAAGACCAGATGGACAGCAGCAGAAACCCTGTGGGAAAAGATTTAGTGTCAGGATCAGATGAACAGTGGCAGAAATCCTGTGGGAAAAGATGTAGTGTCAGGATCAGATATACAGCAGCAGAAATCCTGTGGGAAAATATTCAGAATCAGGATCAGACAAACAGTGGGAGAAATCCTGTGGGAAAAGATTTAGAATCAGGACCAGATGACCAGCAGCAGAAATCCTGTGGGAAAAGATTTAGTATCAGGATCAGATGAACAGTGCAGAAATCCTGGGAAAAGATTTAGTGTCAGGATCAGATGAACAGTGGCAGAAATCCTGGGGAAAAGAATTAGTGTCAGGATCAGATGAACAGTGGCAGAAATCCTGGGGGGAAATATTTAGTATCAGGATCAGATGGACAGCAGCAGAAATCCCAAGAATTTACCACGACACCACCCTACAGTCCAACTTGAATAGGTGAGAAACAAAAGTAAAGTGTTTAATAGTTATTCATACTAATTTCAAGGAATACTGAAACTGAAAGTGTCCTTAAACATTAGTGATGTAATGTTATCTTCAGATCTTTAACATGTGTCACCTCTAAAGACATTAAAAGAAGGTACTTGTTGTTACTGGCACTCCACATTTTGGCTGCTGCACACACAAACAGCTGGAAGGTCAAGTCACACTGGCTTTCGTCAGGGGTTGTAAGAACTTACATGGACGTATTGATGCATCACACATTTATTGGGATGGTAGGTCCATCTGTGAACCAAGCTCCCTCATGTCATGAATGGAAATCATTCTGTAGGTTTTTCACTTACCAAAGACAAAGAAAATATGTAGAAACAAGGCTCCATACGTTGTGTCTGGGGCACACAGCCCAACTAACACTGCTACATTGGCCAGCTGAAACAGCATATGATTGGTTGGCTCCCAGCTGTTACATCCAATCAGCTTGTCCATCCACATCTCTTCATTGACCACGTTCGTGTAGTTAAGGTCAAGGACAAACTTGAAGGATGAATTTTTAACCCCGGTGAAATCTGACTGCAAAAAGATTTAAAGGTCAAAGTTAAAAGAATGAAAGTACAGTTTTTCAGATTCTCTTTCTTTCCTAGAAATTTACAGTGATGCAAAAGAGTTTTAGGTGACAGTGAAAAGTAACAATTTCCATGAACTGTCCACCATGTTTATATATTTAGCTTTTCGTGGAGCCAGACTATTTGGTTGTGGTCTAAGACTTGCCCTTTGTTTTCATAAATTGACCTTTATATCCCAATAACATATCTATCTGCCTTTGTAATCTTTTTGTATTCATATATTTCTTCGTTGAGTTGAACTTTGGATAACTATTCATGTAGGCATCATTAACTTCGACACAACAGTGTTTGAGTGTTAGTTTGTTGTTCAACACTCTATTCATCAACATGCCAGCAGTTTGTACACAATCAAGTCAAGACCACACAATCCAATGATTGACATCACAATAATCTTCTCATTGGCACATTGTGATATGCCTAGACCAAATCTGCAAACTTTACAACCAATACCTGTCAGTCAACTCTTACAACAAGCTTGTAGAACAACCATCCCAATTCAGGTTTTCATGGTGCTGAGATTACGTATCTGACTTGTCTAGGAAATTTATAGAACTGATCCAACAGTCATTTCAAAACTATTAAAATTTTAAACAGCAAATGGTACCAGATCAGCACATGTAACAGACAGAGCTTCCGAGTCCAATGATATGATTCAAGCCACAGAACTTCTAATCTGTGGCTTCAAACACCACCAACCAAATTGGGAAGATGACAAGAAGAGGACATTGTGCGTGATGACTCCACACCCTGCTATGCATACACAAGAGTTCCACCAGAAATGTTTAACTGGGTAAGAGGTAAGTTCCTTCTCTTATCCAACTAAATGGCATCAAATTGAAGAAACCGAAAAATTTGAATAACCTAAGGAACCAGTCCATCGATTGTTTGATGTAGTTATAGATAAGTTCTCAAACTAAACTGTTCACATGACAACAAATTTACATTGCCTAGACTTCTGCCAAAATGCAGTTACTCATAGGGCTGGGACGATTCACCGATGCATCGATGCATCGTGATACATTTTAAGTTTGATACAGCTATCGTATCGTGGACTGGTGTATCGATACACAACTTTTTTTCAAAACAGTATTATCTTAAACATGTTACAGTGCTTATTTAGAGAAAAATACGCAAGTATGATGGAGTTACTTGTTTGTTTATTACAATAGTGTTATTGCTAAACACAAATACCTTGAAATAAATCATTTTAAATCTTGATACCATGTCATTCTTTCAAGGTGTATGTATCATGATACGTATCGTATCGCAGGTAAAATATCGCGATATGTATCGTATCATCCCAGCCCTAGTTACTCCAATGATAACTATAACAATAAGGGTGTATACAAACAAACCACAACTTTATTGCATTTTGATGCTACATTTCGGCCTAGATTCTCACTCTTGCTTGACAGAGATATAAGAATCTGTATCGACAACGTCACATCAAAATGCAATAAAGAAGTTTTCATCCACAAAGTACCTTACCTTCATTATTACTAATCAGCTTCTAAAATGCCAATAATAGAGATCGTGACCATAATCACCACTAAGATTCACTTACAGTCCAATGCCAACCTGTCTCTGCTTGACAAAGTCCACTTCACATTTAAAGAAAAATATGTAATATTAACTTATTTGTAATACAAGAAAAAAAAAGTATAAATAAATAAAGTATTTTTATGAAACATATTTGAAACGATGCAGTGAATTATATTAGTAATGGAATAATTCACTTCCATAATGAGCAGCCTGAGATTCAAGACATATCTACCATTAGTCACAAAGTTAGGAATCTATTTAAAAGTAAATTAAATGCACCAAGTGTGACATTTCAAATGCCAAGCAAGTGCTCTAGATGAAACAGCGCCAATCTTGCAGCATTACGGTACATATACCTCAAGTTTCTAATGTGTTGCTACAGCAACACTGGATTTTGCCATAGTTGTACATTTGGGAATGCAATTAGCCAAAGTGCAGAGATTTATAGAACGTAATCGCTTCATGATAATGCAATCAACGGTTCCCTTTTGAAACAGTGAAGTGCATGAAAGTAAATTTGGCTTTAGTTTTGAATTTACCTGTAATCCTACACCTCTTAATTATTTGAGACGATAATGGAAGCTTACCAACATCACATAAAAAGACATAAATCACTTATCTTAATGATGTTGTCAAAGTAATAGGAAAATTTAAAGAGCATATTTACTAAAATTAAAATAGATGACTCTCATTTAGCGCTTAGTCAAAATATGGGAATGGGATTTAGCTCACCTGAATCCCAGATAGATGCCATTTTATTCAGATTCTCGCTGTGAAAGATACAGTGATTATTACATGAGCGAAAGTAGAGATTATAACATGAGCAAGAGTGAAATTTTTTTATCATACAATCAGCTTTTATTGAATATGACACAATCAAATTTACTGACCCAATAACAACAGAAATAGGCTGATCGAAAGGCACATGTGGACAGAAGAAAATCAAATTAGTGACATGTTCACTTGATGAAGTCATTGCAACATTGGCACAAACAGACCTTGGTCAACATCAGGACATGTTTCACTTGATGAAGTCACTGCAACATTGGCACAAACAGACCTTGGTCAACATCAGGACATGTTCACTTGATGAAGTCACTGCAACATTGGCACAAACAGACCTTGGTCAACATCAGGACATGTTCACTTGATGAAGTCACTGCAACATTGGCACAAACAGACCTTGGTCAACATCAGGACATGTTGCAACTTGATGGTCAACATCAGGACATGTTCACTTGATGAAGTCATTGCAACATTGGCACAAACAGACCTTGGTCAACATCAGGACATGTTCACTTGATGAAGTCACTGCAACATTGGCACAAACAGACCTTGGTCAACATCAGGACATGTTTACTTGATGAAGTCATTGCAACATTGGCACAAACAGACCTTGGTCATCATCAGGACATGTTTACTTGATGATGCAACATTGGCACAAACAGACCTTGCAACATTGCAACATTGGCACAAACAGACCTTGGTCACATCAGGACATGTTCACTTGATGAAGTCACTGCAACATTGGCACAAACAGACCTTGGTCATCATCAGGACATGTTCACTTGATGAAGTCACTGTAACATTGGCACAAACAGACCTTGGTCAACATCAGGACATGTTCACTTGATGACATTGCAATACAGGAACAACCTCGCTTGGGTCAACTGGGGACTTACCATGAAATCCTGTTGGTACAAAACTCAAGAGACAGCGCTCATGGACATCCTGGCTAAAGAAGAAGATTCTTCCATTGTACCTCAGTGAAGGTGGAAATTTAAGTAATTCATACAGACCGAACGAAGACATGAAAATCAAAAGGCTGATACGATGCAATGGTATGAAGGTGGGATCACTGAATGAAGACAGAACAGTGATTCAGTATCGTCGAAGATGGAAGCAAGGTTTGAGGAGGCCTGGAGGACTCAGCCGAAGAATCCAGAGTAGACAGGATTGTCAAACAACAATCTAGGATCAACTGCTGTAGAATCGTAGATGAAGCAAGAGGGTTTGTCGACTAAAGTCACGTTTGAATGCAGACAAAAGGCTAGAGGTGATTGGATCAGATGAGGATGCAAGTAGGAAGGAACAACAAATTGCACAATGGAACAACTGGAGGGATAGTTGAACATGGAAGATGAACAGATCACCAACCCTAGGGGTTTCAATGAATAAAGGGAAGGAATTGGCAAACCTGGTGAGGTTGCCGATTCTTTCATAACTACCAAGCTTTACAGGACTGACAGGACAGTTATCAGGGGATCAGACAAAGGATTCCTTTTCTATAGTTCAGATGTCTGGAACAGGCGCCTGAGGGTCTCGCTACGATAAGAGCCTGAGGGATCATCCAAGAACAGCATTAGCGAAAGTAAGCATCATTAAATCATCTATGTCAAGGTCACAATTCCTTCTCTACACGCTGAAATCTAATAGTCCCTGTCCTTCGTTCTCTGAGAGCTTGCTTTCCAATAACCAAAAACTGACCATCATCAAGACAATTACAGATGTTGCAACGTTTATACCAACAACAGATTCTGGTACAATGAATGAAATTCATGCAATGAAAAAGTCTGTTACATTAAACAATGGTTGTTACAAGGGACTGAAACTTCATTCCAGGTCATTTCCACTCCATGGTCGAAAAGCAAGAAAAAGTGCATAAATTGAGATAGGATAAGTTTAAAAATTGTATTTATGCACAGTATCTCCTAAGCCTATTAAGGCAGAAGGTGAAGCCACTTAGTACATAAACATCTTAATATTGTTGCATATTACACGTATGTGACACAAATCCTGTCTGTCTGTCTGTATACAGATCAATTGAGGATTTCATAACAGTTAGCAGTATCTGTTCACTCTCTATATTCTACTTTATGTTACCTGCTTTCGGGGGCGGTGGGGTAGCCTAGTGGTTAAAGCACTCACTCACCACGACAAAGACCCGGGTGTGATTCTCTACATGGGTACAACGTGTGAAGCCCATTTCTGGTATCCCCTGTCGTCATATTGCTGGAATATTGATAAAAGTGGAGGGAAACTAAACTCACTCACTCGAATGATTAAGAATAACTGCGTACATGGTTAGCTTGTTACTTGGCAGTGATTATACATCTCCACTGAATATGTTAGAGCTCAGCTAATAGTTGTCAGTGTTAGTGAAATGAAGGTAATACCCGTGTCATGTAAAATAGGCAGATCGAAGATAACCAACCATGTATAACATATCATCCAACGGGACTGTGTGATACATAATCATTTGGGTCATTGTCCTTGTCATATTCATGATTTATTGTCACCGTCATTGTATTATTGCACTGTTGTTTACTTTTCATGATAAGTAAATAACTTTAAGTAATGTCAACTTTTGAATCATGCTCATCATCACCATCACTAGCACCATCA